ACTAAATGCCTATTTGTGATGTAATTCACACTCATTTATCAACCATGTTAAGACGTCAAATCTTGAACCTGACTGAAAGTCAAATTTTGAAATCTCTATCTTGTTTATATCTCATAAATATTGTTACTGCAGAAGCAGGTAGCAGGTCGATTTAACTGAGTTTCGACTTAGCATATTTAATTTCAACGGCTATCAGGATTTCTTAGGAAACAAGTTAACATATGAATGATTTCTGCTGTAAATATAATATAAGACATTGTATAAACATTTTAGTAAAATAAAAATTTTAAGATACAATTTAAGCAGTGAAAATCATAACGGTAATGAATGACCCGTAGAAAAGACGAACAGCAGCCCACAAAGCATTACGCAATAACCTTAAGATTGGATAATGCGAACTTCACTAAAATACGGGATGAAACTCTGGGCAAGACGTTTCTGTCCCAGTTTTAGTGGCAAAGTCGTGTTGCTCAACAATTTTACTTAAAAAAAAACAACAACAACAAAAAGTGGTTGCATAAGTACACCACAATTCTGTAGTGAATGTCAGTATTTTTGTTTCTATCTATGTCGAGATTAAATGAACCTTAAATATAATGTTTTATTTATTTATTTGTTTCTTTTTTTTTTCTTTTTCTCTTTTTACTTTTTTTATTCATTTTGTCGAAGGATGTGGCTTAAAGATTTTAAATAGTCTTCAAAACATAACATAGAAACCGAAAGAATGGGGCAGTTCGAATTTATATTTATTTTGTGACACAGTATTATAACTAAATGTTCTTGGCAAAACAGTAACTATTATCTTTTTTTATAAGCCAGCAGATATGGAATAATGTCGGTAACTAATAACTTAAATTGGCTTATTTTTCCGTTAAATAAAACTCGCTGGTTGATTGATTTGTTTTCGAGATATAACCATTACCTTGCAATCATATTGTACCATAATACATTCCCCCAAGTACGCTGAATGCATGCATTTTTTGAGGTACAAGAGCAAGAAAAATTGTCAACTTGGATGTAAATGATTCTGAAAAATTGATGGCGCTACATAATTTACCGAGATTTAACTAAGTACACCTACAAGTGACCTTTCTTTCAAGTGTTTGACAGGATCGTTCGTCACCCATCATAACGATGTAAATTTCATTTGTCCCTTGATGATAATTTTCAGATACCAATCTTGTTACATGCCAGTTATATGTCATAATTTTTCAAGTTAATTAGTTCATCTATAATGAAAATTTATTCTTGCTTAAAAGTATCAAATTGCTGGAATAAACTGAACTGTCGTGATTGAGTAAAACTTTTGGGCAAACTTTGTGAAGAAAGAATATGCTTAAATGTAAGAAATTAACTACTAGTGCATTGTAGCCTTGCTGAATTGCTTTACCCATTTTTTCTTTTCTGTTCTCTGTTGTTTTGTGTTTTCCCCTTTTTTTAAACGACGACTAATGCTGCTATGTCATAAATATTACAGACTAAGGTATGGGTTTTACTCATTGTTGAAGGCCGTACGGTGACCTATAGTTCTTAATTTCTGTGTCATTTGGTCTCTTGTGGAGAGTTGTCTCATTAGCAATCATACCACATCTTCTTATTTTAATAGTTGCGCAACGATGTAATTTGACGCTATTTAAAGCACCGTTTTGATTTGAAAATATGATTTAGCTTTCCGTTATTATTGTTCTAAGATTTACAAATTAGATTTTTGTAATGGTTGTTTCTTTATTTATTTTGTTACAGAAGCTTATATGATACTTTGCCCTAAATTTATTGGCCGTATTCTTTTCTCCTAATTGTTCAGGTCAAGTCGGACATAAGAATAGATAACATAGAGTAATAAGATTTGACGAGATATGATCGTTTTCTACTAGCCAAAGGTGATAAAAGTCACACACAAAACCATAATCGGACACATCAAAAGTTGTCATCTGACAAAGATCAGTTGACCTACAGTCATACCAAATTATACAGAACCTGTTTAGTACACGGTGGGAGTTAGGTGGGAGTTTTCCCTTTTAGGTCATATTTCTGTGCAGCAAATATGTGATAGAGTGTAGCATTAACAGTTCTTTTAAATATTTCAATGAGTAATTTTCAAATGAAAGGGTTTCTACTCTCATACACTTTTAAATTTGATCTTCTAAACGGGTTGAGGACAGTAGCTAAAATTTAAAATTAACCTTTTTTGGGGGGAATACTGTAAAGTTTTGCAACTCTCGTTCAGATTTCACAAGATTTAAGTTATTGCTAAAGTAAATACGCAGAACAATAAGACAAAAAATTTGTACACACCAATTATTTTTTTGAATTTCATTGAATATTACTAAATGCTGTTTATTGTTATATTTCTTTTACACTGTTTATAATGAACATCTACGTCATTTTGGTTTCTTCTGAATAGTTTTCTCATTGGCAATTATACCACAACTCCTTATTTTATATTTAACAGGAAAATACACTTAAAAGCGTAAATAAGCTTTATTTAATGCTCAATTTTTTACCATTTTCCGTATCAGATTGTTAAAATGCTCCTGCATTTTTCTGTAGCACAAAATATGTTTTTCAGTTGATATTCTGACTTCTTCTTTCATTTGGAAAATTGAAGTTTGTTTTTTATTGCTGAAGTTTGAATCAATAACATTTCTGTGCCCTCAGGAAAAATGTAATACATTCAATTTGATCAGATAGAATCGTTTGTTAAACTTGTAAATGCGACACATCGGTCAAATTAAGCTGTTAAGGAATGCTTTGAAGCTTATTCACAGAAAGTATGATAAATTAACTGATCAATTAAGATAATTTATTTATCTTTCTTAGATGTACATAAACAGGTGGGACGGACTATTACTATCAATAATCTTCCAATACTTGCGTAAACACTGTGACAGGAAAGTGATGGGTAGTCAACTGGGCTTTTACTTTTTAAAGGGTTGTAAAAAGAGAGAGAAGACACAAAAAGTGCAATCAAAAACCATCAGTCAAAGAAAAAAATAAGACAACGCCATTACCAAAAATAAAAACGACTAAAAGATAAACAACAGTCCCGAAATCTTCTTGACTATTGATTAATTACCAATACTTTATTAATTAATTCTATGTCGAAATAATAATAATAATATTAAAAAGAAAGATAAATAACAAGTTTTACATGTAAACAAGTAACAAAGTCTTCTGATATTTTTTCGAGTCTAATTTTGTATTTGTATATTTACAGAGAATTTAGTTTACTAACTGAAATTTGGTTTCATAAACGAAATGTTCCACAATCTCAAAATGCAAAATAAACCGATTTTGAAATGTTCAATATATCTTTATACTCTGATTTAATAGTTTGATACATAGATTTTTAAGTCTTCGTTGATTTTTCTATATTGATTAATTCAAATGTTTACAAAAAAATTATGAAAATGCATAGTCTGGATTTTTCATTAAGGTGTTCACAAATTTAAAACATTCAAAAATAAGAAATTAGCAAGTGCAAAATTTCTTATAGTTGACAATTTATTATATATTTGTTTAATAATTCCTATGTTAACCTGGTCATGGATTATAATTAATAACTTCTGACGTTTATCAAGTTAATTAATGCAACCACAAAAGTTAAGCGTTATGATTTATTATGAACATGTTCTTTTAAAATGACAAACTTTTCTATTTATCAATTAATAAAATATGTATCTTGGATACTTTAATAGTTATGATTTACTTTAGAATGTGCTCTTTTGACAAGACGTGATTCATAAATATGTCAAAATTTATAATATAAGTTACAATTTCAATCAATGGAAAAATAATTTGAACTAATTTTACAGAAGACGTTTAATCGGTGAAATTGAAGTTACTGAAGAAAATGGTAACCAAGTTTAATTTGAGTTAACTCCCTTGTGTTAATTTTCTACCAAACTTTGAAATAAATATAATTTGAAAAAAATGTTTGTTTATGCTGCAATGATTTTCCAAAACTATATTTTATTTTATTGAAGTGACGAAAGACAGCAAAGTTCAAATTCTGTAATTATGATATTCAAAGATTTGAGGATGCCATCCAATTATTATATCCACTTTTCATACAAGGAAACAAGAGTCATTATTGTCATAACCTTGTACAGTTGTATTTAAATAAGCCTTTTACATTAGAATATAAGATTTTTCTAATGTGACAGATATGAGCCTTTAAGTTAATTGTACTGGTATGAACTTCTCTGCAACTGTCTACGAGAAGTAGTTAATGTTTCAACGTTAGCTACTTGTGACATTTTCACAACCAGTTTGTCCTAATATGACATTAAGTCTAATATATCTTTTTCTGGTTGGTTACCTCCTGTTAATGTTTTTGGTAGTTGGACAAAGGGAATAACTGCTTATATGATGTGACAGGGAAACACATATAAAATATAATATGGTTTAATTATGAAAATAGGAACATAATACCACACATGAACCAGAACTCACTTTTGTTTTTAATATTTCATAAAATGTTAACGATCTTGTCAAACTTAATAGCTTTTACAAACAAAGTACATTAAATGAAGTTGCATCAAGTACAGAGTAACCAAGGATTTAAAACAATTAGCAGATGGTTTATGTTTACTTGACCTTCACTTTACAATCAGTTCAGACGACGCGACGTCAAACTGCTCTATTGCTTCCGTCGTTCTTGTCCGTGTGCAATAAAGTATTTACTGAATGGTTTAGGGGCAACATATCTGTTTGAAATGAAACACATAGACTTGAATGAAGCATTAGCTCTTAGAAGACAAAAAAAACAGGAGAATAAATCTCGAAACCAAAAGATGTATGAAGCAAAAATGTAGTTAAAAAACAAATTATACATCTAATAGTTATAAGGTTTTTTTTATCTGAAAATAAACCATAAATTCAAAATATACTTAAATATATATATAAAAAAAAGAATCGCATGCATCGCCTACTTTTAATTTTTATTTGCAAATTTACAAAGTTTATTACTATGATTGTTTTTTTTTTCTATTTGACAGAAACAAAAAGAAGAGAACAGGCTGCTTTATTTGGTAAACATCAGCCTCCTAAAAAAAGGAGAAAGTCGAGAACCGCATTTACAAATCAACAAATTTACGAACTAGAAAAAAGATTTCTGTATCAAAAATATTTGACTCCTGCAGACAGGGATGAAATAGCTCAAACTCTGGGCCTAACCAACGCACAAGTCATAACTTGGTTTCAAAATAGAAGAGCAAAACTCAAAAGAGACCTCGAAGAACTTAAAAATGACGTTACAGCCGCTAATTCTGCTGGAGAAGAAACTGTAAAAGCTCTTCTTAATAGTGACGACGATTCACGTGACAGTTCATGGAGCCATTCTCCTCCTAAAGTCAAAAAGACATGTGTATCTGAAACTGTTTCACATGAGAGTGACAAACCTTTTTCAGAAATAAAAGAATCTACGTCAGGAAAGTCAAAAACGATATTTGAAAAACCCGAAAAACAGTCGGAAGGGGATGATTCCTCAGGAAATGAATCGGATGATAATTCTTCGTAGTTATTGTTTATTTATTATTTGGATGTTTGTAATGTTTTTTGCATATCATCATTATATATTGTGACTTCATGATAAATAGTCCCCCATTTTATGTGAAAATAGACAAAGTAAATAGACAAGAGGGTCTGAGTGATGAATCTTATGAAATCCAACACACGTTTATCAGAATATATCATTCTAATGTCTTGCATATACACGTTGAAATAAAAGAACTCGCAATTTTATGTGGCATTTAATGTGATTATCCATTTTATCATTTGCATTCAGCTTTAAAAATCAAGTTTGTTTTATGATTCAAATCGTCAAAATCCACAATAACATAACACTCGTTTTCTGTGTTTCTGTATTTGTATGATTAAAAGGTAGCAAAAAGAAAACCTCATCAAAGATAAATGATCGCTTATAATTTTGTACGCCAGGCGCGCGTTTCGTCAATAAAAAGACTCATCAGTGTGATGCTCGAACTGGGGCCAAAATTCTGAACGGTTTTGCCAAATACAGCTAAAGTAATCGACTCTTGGGGGAAAAAATCCTAAGTTTTTCGAAAAAAAATACATAGTTGTGTGAACAGCTATTTAGATCTATAATTATGAGCATACGAATGAGTAAACAAACCCTTGGTCTTTGGCAATGGATGAATTTACCTAGCTTTCCGAAACAGTTTTTCTCATCTACAGGCAATGATGGCCTTAGTCAGATTTGGTACAACCCTTTAAGAGCTTTTGATTTCAATGCTCATCAACTTCGTCATTGATACTGCCTTCCATTTGGTATCTCTAGAAGCACTGATTCATCTATTGTAGAGGAAACGCGTGCCTGCGTGCTTATTGGAACTTCTCCTGATATGTATTGTGCTGAAATTGAGGTTTTATCTAACAAGTGGAAGTTTTGACATTGCAAACATTTTCAACACATTACTTTTTCTTGAAAATGCACATACAGTCAGTAATATAACAGCCATTCTCTAGGATTTTCATGTACTCCCAGTAGAAAAAAAGACATATAGAGAATGCACGTGTAAAATAATCCAAGTTTAGAAACATTCAATTAAGCGAAACTCATAGCACGGTCTCAAATATAGGGGTAAGCTCATATTATAATGAGCACAGAAGACACGCATCAGACGGAGAGCTAATGTTTCATATCATACTGAGGACTAGTGACTCATATCATGATGCTGAGATCTAATGGATCATAGCATACGAATAGCTAATGAAGGACCCCCGAGATCGTTTGCTGAAGACAATATCAAGAAGACCGGAAATGAATCCTATAGCATTGGCTGTAAAAGTAACAACGAAAAGACACACACACCCGCGCGCTGGACCATTTCCTTTGACAGGCAAATTACATACAATAGGGCGATTGACAAAGCGCTATGCAGACTAGACTTTTACTTCTGAAGATAAAGACTTCGATGATGTCATATAAAAGATAACCAGAATATTCACAGTGATTGCCTGAGAATTCAAGAAATTCCATATAATATCTGAAAGATAATGAAGAACATCAATATTGATTCACTTGTAAATTATATAAAACAGAGGTGGCCATTTTGACTTTAACCGATCTAAAAGAGAGAGACGATAGATACCAAAAGGATATTCAAACTCATAAGTCGAAGACAAACTGACAATGCCATGGCAAAAAAACGAAAAACAACGAAAATACAAAAACAATACACAGAACACAACATAGAAAACTAAAGACTGAGCAACTCGAACTCTACCTGATATTCCATAACCGTAAACCAACTCGTGTTTGCGTTTGTTGAATTTTCGATTTCAACTTCACCACTTGGAACTCTTGGTTCCATAGCTTCCTTGTAAGCAGCAGCCTTCTATCAAGGAAATAATGATAGGAAATGCAAGATCTGGAATACGTATCCAATGGGAGATATATATACTCCATATAGAGGCGCTGCATAGAAATGGAAAGTTCACTATTGGGAAGCTGAAATCATCTCTGTCATCTCTTTTGTCGTAAAGTTTTGTTTTCAACTAACCGAAAAGGTTGATAAAGAGATTAGTTAGTCTTGTTCTGTCTTTCAATTGATTAAAAACATACTTCTACTAAGACATTTTGATTACAGCTATTTAGTATGTCCAAGCTATTTTCAGGGTATTCAATAGTTTTTTCTGCTTGTTCTAAGCAGTTCTCACTTAAAGTGATTTCAAAGATAGAAATATTTCTGAATACCATTGAATTCACCACGAGAATGTCTGAAAAAATACTCGCTTTGTAACAACACTCAACTTTTGTATAATAGTTTCGGAGGCACTTTTTCAATCTAAAATTCATCTTTAGAAATGCATAGGTTTTAGTTATTGCAAGGACAAAATTAACCTGCTGTGAATGTTTTCAATACAAATACGGTATTCAAAATTTATTTTAGTAACTTTATGGTTATCTCTTTCAAACTAAATAAGCTAAGAAACACAGATAGTTAAGAAAATTCATCTGATTATGAAAATGGTAACCATGAATATTTTCATGAAACACAAGTTGAGAAAGACCATTTTATTTGGCTATTCGCGAAAAAAAAACTTTTGAAAATAATGGAAAGTACCAGTAATTATCAATTCTAATAAATGCATGCAGTTTCTATCTCCAAAAATGATATCATTTTTGATTGATTCTTAATTGGAGCATTATATTTTATGTATTTAAATATAAGAATTGATTCGAAATGGAATTACTTAACGATAATATATTCAACACAAGTCTGACAGTAGTTAGTAGTTACGGGAAAAAAAACAATATCAAAAAGAAATTTGTAATAAATATTTATACTAGAAATGGCAATTTAAGTTAGTCGGTGGAAACAACAGATATCATTTTGATATGTTGATTGAGGCCTTTCTCAGATATAAAATATATGACTCCTTGTCAGGGAGAATTTTTTTAACATTTCACTGGTACTGTTCTATGGAGGGGTATTATTGGAAGAAGTTCAGGACTAACGGATATAGATTTAAACTTTTATATCTCTTCAGAAAGTAATATTTTGTTTCTCCAAAAACTTCGTTTTTCGAGAGACTAATGATTTTTTACTCCAGGAATAGACAACCTAAGCTGTATTTGCAAAACCTTTCGGAACTTTTGGTCATCAGTGTTCTTCAACTTCGTACTTTATCTGGCCTTTTTAAATTTTTCGAAGCGAGCGTCATTGATAATCTTGTTAAATATGATGAGTTTATTTACAACCACTGGGCCGATGCCACTGCTGGTGAGGGTTTCTCCCCGAGGGTATCACCAGTCCAGTAGTCAGTACTTCTGTGTTGACATGAATTATCATTGATATGGTCATAATTAGAATATTAACTGTTAACAAAACTTTTAATTTTTCAAAAATCTAAGGATTTTCTACTCGCACTTTATTTGGCCTTTTTGAAGTCTTTGATTAGAGCGTCACTGATGAGTCTTTTGTGTCATGGTATACTTGGTGAGTTTATTCTCATATATATGTCTTTTTGATGTTTCTTTTTCATCACCACCGTAATCATCAGTGAATCATTGACGGTTCTTCGTGGCATTATCTAAATTCTTTATGAAAAAGGACTGTAATTTGTATTGCAACAATACTTAAAAGTATCAAAACATTTATGGTAACGAAGGTTATGTATGTCAATGAAGGAAAGTGACGATATTGGATTAAAATATGAAACTATACACACCATTGAGATAATTCAAACCGATATAGAATCATGAGTATAGCATGATTGTCAATGAGAAAAATATCCAACAGAGTCTAAATGATGTGGAAATAAGCAACTATAGGTCAGTGTACGGACGTCAAAAATGAACAAAAATCCGTACCGTTTAGTCAGATGTAAAAGGCATCGCCATGACAACATGTAAAACAATTTAAACAAAAAACCAACGGTCTGATTTATGACAAAACATTAAACGAAAAACAAATAAAACAGACCGCATCGAGCGACAACCATTGAAGCACAGGCTCCAACTTGAGACAGGCACATATAGGATGTGGTGGGGTTAAACATGTTTGTGAGTGCTCAAACCTCCCTTAACCTGGGACAGTGGTTTAACAGCACAAAATGAAAATAGAACCTGTAAAAAGTAAGAAATGGTTTGACTTATCATATTAGCACGAAGCGCAAACAAAACTAACGTAAAGTACCGAAATTAGAGTACTCGAAATAACTGAAACTAAACTAGTATTAGAAAATGAAAAAAAATCTGTATAATTTAGGTGGGTCCGAAGCGCTTTTCATAAATATTACTTAAAAGAAAATAACACTTTATAACTTTTAATGCTTCCGTAGAGCTTTCTTGATTTACCATCACCAGGAATACTTAAAGCCCCCAAAAAATTAAAATCAAGGATGTATAAGTATCGAAACACGGGAAGACCTACATGACCGGAAGGGTCCAAAAAATAATAATCAGATCCATCTAAGGTCATTTTCCCCGAGGGAGTAGGAACGTTAGTTTCTTGGTAATTTCTTAAATCATGAAGGGAGAATATAAGAAAGGCCTGCTTTAAATCATGTCAGAACGTAATTACTGACCAATGATTTGATGATAGCATCGGGGACTAATAGTCTACCAACAGTGCTATCGAACCAATGGTAGAAAATGAAAATAACGCTTTATTATTGTTTATGTCCGAAGTCTTTTCTGGATTTACCCTCATCTTTGAAATCTTCAAGCAAAACAAAAATGAAAGTCAAGCAGGTATAAATACCAAAACACGTGAACGCTATATGATCAAAGGGACTATAAAATGATAGACAAATCCATCTTATGTCAACTTTGCCTTAGGGAGTTGGAATCAAAAAGAAAGAAATGGTAATCCTAAAACCATAATTCGAAGAAAAATAAATACATGATGAAAAGAAAAGATCAAAAACAAAACCGAATATCAGTTCACAAAATAATACACAGAAAATATTGAACAATACGAACTCAACAAAAGATAAAAACGAACACCGATGTCTCGAAATGGTTGGCTGTTCATGTTCTTTAATGCCACTCTTTATGTTGCTAATGACAAGAAAAAAGTTTGGGTAATAAGTCGAATACGAATATGTCATAATCAAGGAAATGATAACGGATTTCGGAAAATGGTCATCTGTGACACAAATATTTTATAACAGTTAACCGAATCCCGATGACGTCCGTAAACAATTCAAAAGAAATACTTCCAGTTTCACCATTAGTAATCTTTAGTTTACTGTATTCATCATAAGGAGTTACC